CCGCGCCGCCGCCGGCGCGAGCGCGGCGCACGCGGCGACGGCGCCGTCGGGGCCCGCGAGGTCCGCGAGCGCGCGCGCGAGCGCGTCGACGTCCGCGCCGTCGAGGAACGCGCGCGCGCAGACGCGGGCCGCCGCGGGCAGCCCGTCGGCGCCCGCGGCGTCCGCGAGGGGCGTCGCGAGGCCCGCGGCGACGGCCGCGAGCCGCGGGCGCTGCTTGAGGTCCGCGTCCCCGGCGGCGGCGTGGCGCGCGTCGAGCTCGTCGAGGAGCAGCTCGGGCGCGCTCGCCGCGTCCGCCGCGAGCCGCGCGAGCTCGTCGAGCCGCTGGCGCGACATGGACGCGTCGAGCCAGGCGCCGTCCTTGATGGCGAGCGCGTGGAGCGCGGGCCAGGCGAGGAGCGCCGCGGACGGCGCGTCGGCGCGCCGGCCGCGCGTCGCCGCGGTCCAGAACGCGAGGAGCAGGTCCGGCTCGAGGCCCCGGGCGCCGGCGAGCGCGGGCTCCAAGAGCTCGGCCTCGAGGCACGCGCCGAGCTTCGCGGCGCGCGCCTCGGTCGCGAGCGCCCGGAGGTCCTCGGGCGCGCCGTACCTCGCGCGGACGAACGCGTCGAAGAGGCCGTCGTCGTCCTCGGCGCGCGGCGCCAGGGCCAGCGCCCGCGCGGCGTCGAGGGCCGCGCCGTCGACGTCGCGGTCGAGGACGCGCTGGAACGCGGCGGCCGCGGCCGCGCCGAGCGGCGCCGCGGCCGCGCGCGCGCCGACGACCGCGAGCGCCGACGCGACGTCGAGCTCCGGCGCGGCCGCGAAGGCGTCGAGGGCGCCGTCGAGGGCGCCCGGCGGCGCGCCGCGCGCGCAGGCCTCGACGACGCCCGCGCCGCCGAAGCTCCCGAGCACGGCGCCGAGGCGGCCCGCGGCGGCCGCGTCTCCGACGAGCACGAGCACGGCCTCGCGCACGCCCGGCACGCCGGCGAAGCACGCCTTGTAGGGCTTGGCGATCATGGCCCCCTGGGACTTGAGGAACTTGGCGCGGCGCGGCGCGTCGCTCGCGCGCATGCAGGCGTAGACGGCGGCCCAGGCGCCGAAGAACGAACCGAGGCACGCGGCGGCCGCGTCGTCGCCGGGCGCCGTGTCGTCGTGGGCGGCGTAGCGCTGCACGGCCGTCTTGCACTTGGAGAGGATCTTCACGAGGCCCGTGGCGACGTCGACGCGGTCGCGGAACACGGGCAGCGGGTCGCACGCGTTTAGCGCCGCGGCCGCCGCGTCGCAGACCGCCGCGGCCGCGACCGCGGACCGCCGCGCGACCGCGCCGCCGGAGTCGCCGGGCGCGGGCGCGTGGGCCTCGGCGAGCCAGGCCCGCCACGCGGGGAGGAGCGCGGCCGGCAGCGTCCGCGCGGCGACGGCCGCCGCGAGCGGCCGCGCGCGGGCGACGACCGGCGCGAACGCGCGGAGCGCCTCCACGGCGAGCGCGCGCGCCTCCGCGCAGGGCGCGCCCAGGCGGTTCAGCAGCGCGACGTCCCAGTGCGAGTCGTCGTCGGGCTGCGTCTGGGACGCGCCCGGCGCGGGCGTCGGCGCCGCCGGGTCGCCGCCGCACGCGCCCGACGCCCGGCACGCGGCCGCGGCCGCGCCGTCCGTCGCGCAGCCGCGGCCCACGGCCGCCAGGGCCCGCAGGGCCATGGTCTCGAGCGACCGGTCGCCGCCGAGGCGCAGCGCCGCCAGCGCGACGCCGCACCAGCGCCCGGCGTAGTCGGGGGGCTCGCGGCCGGGGCCGCAGCGCGCGCGGATCTCGAGCGCGGCCGCGAGCGCCGCGCCGTCGCCGTAGCGCAGGGCCGCGCCGGCGCAGTTGAGCGCCGCGCGCGACGCCGCGCTCCGCCCGAGGCCCGCGCGCCGCAGCGCGGCCGCGAGCCCGGGCCGCGCGCCGGCGACGCGGCACGCCGCCGCGAGCGCGCGCGCGGCGCCGCGGCGCCGGGCCGCGTGCGCGGCGCCGGCGTCCCGCAGATCCCGCAGCGCGGCGCCGACGAGGCAGGGCGCGTAGGCCTCGAGGGCGCGCGCCTCGGCGGCCTCGGCGGCGAGGCGCTCCTCCGGCTCCGAGTCCTGCTCGTAGCTGAGAAGGCTGCAGGTCTCCGACGGCGCCTCGCTGAGGATGGCGACGAGCTTGTCGTAGGTGGCCTCGCGGTCGTCGGACTGCTGCCAGGCGACGGCGGTGAGCGTCGGCGGCGGTGCGACGACGAGGGCCATCGTTGCCTTGACGCGTCTCTAAACGTAGGGGGCCCGGGAGGAACCGCGGGGGACGGGAGGCTCAGAGGGGTCTCACAGGCGCGGGAGGCGCCAGTGGACGGCGGCCATCGTTGCCGCAGGTTCTCGACGCTCAGGAGCGCTCGCCTCGTTCGAACTCTGCTGCGGCCGCAGGCGGATACTGCGGCATCATTGCATATTGACTCGACTGCTCTCACAGATTCAGGAGATGGCAGCCCTGGAGTGCCAGACGCGCCCATAGCCAGCGAAAAAATCCGAGAAAGACTCTCACATAGCTGCCCGGGAGTGCTAAGAACGCGTTCGTGACCAGCGACAAGCACCAAATCATCCCATGGACCTGCCCGTCTGCCGCATCTGCCTCGAGCCCGACGACCGGGAGAACCTCGTCGCCCCCTGCGGCTGCAAGGGATCCGCGCGATACGTCCACCGCGCCTGCATCGACGAGTGGCGCGCCTCGGCGGGCTCCTGGAAGGTCGAGGCCTGCACGGTGTGCCGCCAGCCCTTCGTCGGCCTCGGCCCGCCGCCGCCGCCGAAGAAGGCGTCGGGCTTATTGTCGTTCCTCTCGCGGGCGGACCCGCGGTCGACGCCGGACCCGGCGCTGCGGCCGGGCCTGCTCCTGAGCTCGACGAACGCGCCGGACCTGGAACCGTCGAGCTTCTGGTTCCAGTGCGTCGTGCTGCTCGTCGAGCACGACGACCGGGGGTCCGTGGGCTTGGTGCTCAACAAGCCCTGCGGCGCGCCCAAGCCCGAGGACGCGGCCCTCGCGAGCCGGTCGCGGCGCGCGGGCGCGACCTACGAGAGCGTCCAGGGCGGCTTCGCGCCCTGGGACAACGACGCGATCTTCGCGCTCGCCAAGTCGCGGAGCGACGCGCAGGCGCTCGCGCGGCCGGGCGGCCGCGTCGTCGCCGCGGCGCCGGACCTCTTCGTGGCCCGCTTCGCCGCGCCCGCGCGGCCCCGCGTGTCCTACGCGAACCGCTTCCGGGGCCTGTTCCGGCGGCGGAAGCCCGCGGCCGACGAGGCGCCGGCGCCGCCGCCGGCGCCGGCCGACGGGGCGAGCCTCGACCTGCGCGTCGTGCACCTCACCGCGGACTGGGGCTACCGGCAGCTCGACGACGAGTGCCGCGCGGGCCACTGGCGGGCCCACCCGCGCGCGTCGCCGGCGTCCGTCGCGCTCCTCCCGAGCCGCGGCATGTGGGCGGGCCTCCAGTAGTGGCAGGCTCCTACTTCTTAAAGCGGATGACGGAGTGGTGGCCGACGAGGTTCTCGACGCGGTAGCAGACGGAGATGGTCGGGAACTGGGGCCGGAGGCAGTCCATGAGGAGCTGGGTCACGGGCGTCGAGTTCTCGTCGCGGTGGGAGAAGGCGAGGTAGAACTCGTCGACGGACGGCAGCGCCGCGAGCGTCCGCCAGAGCAGCGGGACGACGTCGAAGTCGTAGCCCGGGTAGAGCACGTCCGCCGCGCAGGCGATCGTCGGCGCCGCGGCGGCGACGAGCGGGCCCGGCGCGTCGCCAAAGTCCAGCGCCTCGACGGCGACGCCCGGCGCCCGCGTCGCGAGGTCCGCGAGGCCCGCGAGCGCGTCGCCGCGATCCGTGGCGACGACCTCGGCGCCGAGCGCCGACGCCGCGAGGGCGACGACGCCCGTGCCGCTGCCGAGGTCCACGAGGCTCCGCCCCGCGAGGCCCTTCCGCTTCTTCGCGTCGCCCAGGTACGCGGCGAGGACGACGCCGCCGTTCCAGACGAAGCGCGACACGCCGAAGCCGTAGACCTCGGCGACGCGGAGCCGCAGGCCGCCGAGCGCCACGTCGCGGACGGCGGCTGTCGCCTCGCCGACCTCGAGGGCCGTCGGGAGCACGTCGAGCGCGCGCAGGTGAGCGCCCGACGCCGCCGCGCGGACCTCCGCGACGCCGGCGACGTCGAGAGTCGCGACCCAGCGGCTGCCCCGCCTCGCGAGCGCCACGGCGCGCGCCGCGCCGTCGCGATGGATGGCGACGCAGGTCACGTCGAGGCCATTGATGACGTCGTGGTAGCGGTCCGACCCGGCGAAGGGCACGACCTCGTCCAAATGCTCGTCCGTGAGCCCCACGTCGAGGGCGAGGCGGCCGTCGACGACCTGCGGCACGCCGTAGGTGCGGCGCGACGCGAAGAATTTCAGCCGGAGCAGGAGCTCGTCGCCGACGAAGGTGCGCCGCGGCGGGGACTTCTTCGCGACGACGGCGGCCATCGCGCAAGGGCTACTTTGCGACCATATTCGCGGGCTGCAGAGAGGTGAAAGCTGAAGCCTCCAATGCATCGATATTCCTCAACTCCACACTCACATAAAAAAATCATCTCGGCATCTTGAACGCTCGAGCAACGCGCGCGCCGCGCGCGCGCCATGCTTCGATTGCATCGGCGAAGCATGGCCAAGTTATGCGCTGTCGCGTGCCTTCTGTCCGTGGCGTCGTCGTTCGTGGTCCCGCGCAGCGCGCGCTCCCAGACCCTCGTCGTGCGCTCCAAGACCTACGACGACGAGACGGACGTGAACGTGCTCATGACGGCGCTCAACGCCGCCGTCGCCCGCGAGGACTTCCGGGAGGCGTCGAGCTGCAAGAAGCGGCTCGACGCTTTGCGGGGCGGCGCGGCCGCGGCGGCGCCGCAGGCGGGCGACTGGGAGCAGGAGGGCGCGCCGCGGTGGCTCCAGCGGCGGCTGAGGGACTTGGGCATGCGGTTCCCGACGCCCGTCCAGGCCGCGGCCGTCCGCGAGGTCGCCGGCAACGGCGGCGACTGCGTCATCGCGGCGCCGACGGGCAGCGGCAAGACCCTGGCCTTCCTCGTGCCCCTGCTCGGCGCCGTGGAGGGCGAGATGATGCGCCGCGAGCGGCGCCAGCTCGAGGCGAGTTCAAACCTCGGCCTGCTCACGCCCGCGGCGGCGATGGCGGCCTTCTCGCCGGCGCTCTGGACGTCGGCGCAGGTGTCGCCGCCGAGCCGGCCGCCCCAGTTCGGCCCGCGGCGCGGCGCGCCGCTCGCGCTCGTCCTCGCGCCGAGTCGGGCGCTCGCGGTGCAGCTGGCGACGGCGACGTTCAGTTTGGTCGGCGGCACGAACCGCAACAAGGGCTCCTACTTCCCCGGCGACAAGGCGTCGCTGTTCGCCTACGAGGGCCCCAAGGGCGCGCGCGTCGTCGCGCTCGCGTCCGACGGCGACGCGGAGCGCGCGGTCCGCGCCGCGCGGAGCCGGAGGGACGGCGCGTACAAGCGCGCGCTCGCGGACGGCCTCGTCTTCGACGAGGGCCGCGTGCGGCCCGTCGACGAGACCCAGTTCGACGACCTCGAGGACTGCGACGTGCTCGTCGCCGACGCGCGGACGCTGCTGGACGCGCTCGACAGGGCAGCAAAAGAGAGCGAAATTCCCAACTTCAAAGGCTCATATCTCGGCCGTTTTCCACTCGTTTCGGCTGATTTTTGGACGAGCGATCATCTCTCGGAACGGTCTCGAAGCGTGGATGCTTTTTCCGGAACGCGAGCGCGCGGAACACTCACGTTGAAGCGACGTTGAATCACCCTTTTGCTGCCCAGGCGCTCGAGGACGCGCCGGACCTCTTCGACGCGAGCGCGCTGCGCCTCGTCGCCGTCGACGAGGCCGACGCGATCGCCCGCGAGGCGCGCGACGTGCTCGACCGGCTCGGCGACCCGCCGGGCGCCGCGCGCCTGCTCGTGGGCGCGTCGCTCGACGGCAGCGAGGCCGCCGCGCTCGCGCGCGGCGGCCCCGTCGCGGCCGTCGACGCGCGCGGCGCGCGAAACGGCGAAGCTCGCGGCGCCGGCGAGCCTCGACCACCGCTTCATGGGCGTGGAAGACTACCGGCTCCCCCTCGTGCTCGCGCGGTCCCTCCGGCGGGACCTGGCGGACTGGGAGGCGGCGGGGTCGCCGCCGCCGCGGCCGCGCGCCGTCGTCTTCGCGCGCGACGAGGCCGGCGCGCGCGCGCTCGCGGACCCACTGCGCACGGCGCTCTGGGGCGCCCACGCCGTGGCGGCGCTGCTGCCGGAGACGGGCGGCGCGCCCCTCGAGGCCGCGGCGTCCTTCGGCCGCGCGGGCGCCGAGTCGGGCGACGACTTCGCGGCCGTCGCGGCCGTCAACGCGGCGACGCTGCTCGTGACGGTGCCTTCGGCCGCGCGGGGCCTCGACTTCCCCAACGTGTCCCACGTCTACGCCGTCGGCGCGCCGCCGGGCGACGGCCGCGACGCCGCGGCGACCTACGCGCACGTCGCGGGGAGGTGCGGCCGCGTGGGCCAGGCGGCCCGCGGCGTCGTCACGACGCTCGGCGGCGACGACGACCGCGCGGCGCTCGAGGGCGTGCTGCGGGACCACTTCGAGGGCGTCGAGGTCGCGGACGCGGCGCCGCCGCCGTCCCTCGCGGACGAGCCCCTCCCGGACGAGCCCCTCCCGGGCGCGGGCGCGGACGCGGACGCGCAGCGCGCCTACCTCGAGGACGTCTTCGCCCTGCGCGACGTCGACGACGGCGGCGGCGACTAATTAGCCTAGGCCGAGGCTATCGAGGAAGCCGGCGTCGGAGAGGCCCGGCGCGCCGTCGGCGACGCCGAGGGCCGCGACGGCGCCGGCGCCGTCGACGTAGCGGAACTCGCGGAGCCGCGTCGCGTTGCCCGGGATCGTCGCGTGGACGAGGTCGCCGAGGAGGTCGAACCGGTTGCACCCGTCGAACTGCGCCGCGAGGGGACAGGCGGACCCGCAGGCGAGGTCGAGCGCGCCCGGGAACCGGCCGCGCGCCGCGGCGAACGTGAGCTTCTTCGCCTCCCAGTACGTGAGATCGCGCCAGAGCTCGCCGTCGTAGGCGACGCAGCCGGCCTCGCCGGCGACCTCCAAGATCGTGTGCCAGAGGCTGTACTGGTCCTTGAAGGAGCAGCGGTTGTCGAACCAGCGCGCGAGGAAATCCACGGCGAAGGCGGTGCTCCGCGCGTAGTAGCGGCTCCCGCTCGCGCGCCAGAAGAAGGACTTCTCGACGTGGAACGCGACGTCGGTCCCCGGCGACGCGAGCGGCGCCGGGTCCCACGGCCGCGGTGCCGCGGCGTCGAGGTCGACGAAATACACGCCGTCGACCGTCGGATCCGCGAGGACCGCCAGCGCCGCGGGCATCTTGATGTAGTGGTTGCTCACGAGGCCGACGTCGCCCCGGTCCACGCGGCCGTCGTAGAACGAGTCGCCGAGGCGCCGGGGGACGCGGCCGGCCTCGGCGCTCGCGAGGCACGTCGGCTTCGTCGCGCGTCCGAGCGTCGGCGGCAGTTCGCCGATCCACAGGAAGGGCCGCAGGCCCGCGGCGCGCGCGTACGCGAGCTTGTGGAGGAAGAGCGGCCAGAGGCGGAACAGGTAGTCCGCGCCGTTCGCGACCATGACGAGCGCCGGGCCCTCGGGCGTTCTCGACCGCCGGTGCTCGCAGACCGCGGGCCGGCGGCGGAACCGACGAGAACTGTGGTCGCGGGGGGACGCGGTGAGCTGCGAGTCGTCGGCGAAGGCGATCGCGAGCTCCGGCGCTCGGGGCGACGCGGACCCGTCGCGCGCGAGGCCCGCCTCGACGTCGAAGGCGCAGGCGACGTCGATGGGTCCGAAGGCCGCCATCCAGCCGCAGTGCTTCGAGCCGCACCTATCGGCGCTCGGGCTGAGCCAGGCGTCGACGTAGCGTCGCGTGGCGTCGTCGGAGCGTGTCGACGCGACGACGAGGGCGAACAAGAGGGGTCGTCTTCGATGGCGCATGCTTCCGCTCCGCTCGCGCCGCCGCCGCTTCTTCTCGTCGTCGTCGTCGGGCGTCGACTCCTTCTGCTTCCGGTGCTTCTTCCTTGCGATGGCGCCGCCTCGTCCTCGGGCGTCGAGAGCTCTTGCCGCAAGCGTTCAGCGAGCTGTGGATGCTGTCCCATCTGGTCCACAGTGGACCACACTGGACCAAGTGGAGATCATGATAGTCGAGTCGCCCGACGTCGACGACTGTCCGCCGGTCGGTACGTCGCACCGGCGGCAGAAGTCGATGAACGAGGAGTTGCTCGAGATGGTGAGCGCCGACTCGACGAAGGACGAGTTCCGGGAGAAGCTGCGCACCGTGAGTCCCCAGGACGTGGACCAGCACCCGAGCCCCGCCGCGTCCCCGAAGACGCCGTTCAAGCCGATGATGCGGTTGTCGAGCGACGACGTCTTCGCCCTGGACGCGTCGGACCCCGCGGGCCGCCCGCGCGACGTCCGGCCGGGCACGCGCGTGTCGGGCCTCGTGCTCCGCGGCGTGCCCGCGCGGCCCCGCGCGCCCAAGACCGCGCGCGACCGCGGCTGGGCGCGGCTCTTCGGGTTCGCCCTGGTCCTGGGGGTGGCGTGCCTCGCCTACGAGCCGCCGCCGCTCGACCGCGCGGCGGCGTGCGTCGCCCTGGCGGCGTCGGCGGCGGCCGTCGAGGGCCTGGCCGTGAGAGCCTGGGCGCGCGGCGCGCCGCTCGCGAGCGCCGCGCTCGCCGCGTGCCTCGCGCGGCTCGCCGTCGCCGGCGCCTGCGCCCTCCGCGGCGCGTCCGCGCGGTCCGACGAGGCCGCGGCCTTCGCCTGGGGCGGCCTCGCGTGCGGCCTCGTCGCGTCGGCGGCGGCGCCCGCGGCGCGGCGCCGCCGCGTCCGGAGCAACGAGGCCTTCGCGGGCGCCGTGCGGGCCATGGCCGCGGGCCGCACTCGTCGCGGCGCCGCGGCGGCCCAGGCCGGCGCGGTCGGCCTCGCGGTCGCGGCCGCGGCGCCGTCGCTGCCGTCGCTCGGCGCGGCGGTCGCCGCGGCCTGGCTCTGCGGCGTCCTGCGGCTGCTCGCCTTCGCGGCGGCCTGCGGCGCGGAGCTCCGCGCCTACGCGTCCGCGGACGCGGCCCCGGCGAGCGAGCTCGGCGGCTTCCGCCTGCTGTCGACGTCGCTCGGGAGCCTCGCACAGGCCGCCGTCGCGCTCCCGGCCGCGGCCGCCGCGCGGTGGCTCCTGGGCCGCCGGCGGCGCGACGCGGCGCCCCTCGCGGCGGCGCTCACGGGCCGCGAGCGCGGCGCCGCGCGGCTCGCGAGCCTCGCGAACGCGGCGACGGACCTCGGCGTCGCGCACGTCGCCGTCTGCGTGGAAATCAAACACTGAGCTGGGTTATCCCAACCAAACTTCAGAACTCTCCATCTCGGTCAAATCGAAGTCGATTCGGCTGATTTTTGGACGGATCGATCGCTCTCGTCGAGTTCTCGAAGCACAGCAGAAAGCCTTGCGTCCAAACCGTTCGATTACGCGCACATTGAAGTCGGGTTGAAGATTTGATTTCCACACAGGTCGCCGTCCACCACAAGGCGTTCCGCGCGTCGGCCGTCGCCGTCGACGGCGTCCTCGGCGCGGGCGGCGCCCGGGCCGCGCTCCGCGACGACGACGACGCCGCGCCGGGGTTCCGGGACGCCGCGGGCGCGGCCGCGGACGCGCTCGCGGCCGTCGCGCTGCTCGTCGCCGCGCGGCCCGTCGGCGTCGCGCTCGCCGTCGCCCTGTGCGCGCGCGTCGCGGGCGCGCTCGTCGCGGCGCCCTACGTCGCCGCCGTGCAGTCCGCCTACCTCGCGAGCCTCGAGTGCCCCCGGGGCCTCGCGAAGCGCGCGCCGCTCATCTACCAGCGGCTCCGGCGCCTCGCGGACGAGAGCCGCGCGGACGCGCGCCGCGACCGCCAGGCCGTCGCCAGCCTCCTCCACCGCGGCGGCGACGGCGACGACGCGGACTGCCGAGACGACGACGCGTCGGACCACCGCGCCGTTAAATTCTCGGTCTAGGGGCGCGTGGGCGGCCAAGCCCCAAATGTTAAGTCGAAAAACTTGTGGCAATAAATTTCGCGGCCGCGCAGCGGGCCCGCGACGCGGCCTACGCCCGCGCGGCCCGCGGCACCGGCGGGACCTTCGGCGTCGCCTACGAGCGGTAGCCGCCCTACGTCGTCGCGGGCCTGTTCGTCCACTGTGGTCCCACGTACGTTTACGGACAAATCCGGCACCACTGATCTCGGCGCCATCGACGCCGTTGTATGCGCCCCTTGGTTTCGGGACGCTTCAGGGGTGTAGCCTTCGGGAACGCCCGGATGGCTAAAATCAAGCGACCGCCGAGGAGCGGTGGCAGCGGTGGCGCGCGCTGCACTATGCCGGCAACACCCCCCGACCTGAGAGCAGAGCTTGCCACCAAGCGATGCCTCTCCCAGGTGCTTGACGCGCGCTGCCGCAACGCGTCGCGCGCGCCCACGGCCAGCAATGGCGTCGAAGCGGGCGCCAACGACGACGCTACCGAAGGCCAAAAAGAAGAAGCCGAAGGAGGTCTTCGCGAACCTCGTGCCGCGCACGGCGCGGGGCGTCGCCGTGGACCCGTCGCTGCCCGTGCTCGCCGCGCGCGACGAGATCCTCGCGGCGGTCAAGGCGCACGCGACGGTGCTCCTCGTCGGCGAGACGGGCAGCGGCAAGTCGACGCAGGTGCCGCGGTTCCTCGTCGAGGCCGGCCTCGGCTCCGGCGCGCGGGGCGCGCGCGTCTGCGTCACGCAGCCGCGGCGCGTCGCGGTGCTCACGGTCTGCCAGCGCGTCGCCGACGAGCGGGGCTGCGCCGTCGGCGAGGCCGTGGGCTACGCCATGCGCTTCGAGCGCCGGGTGTCGCCCGCGACGGCCGTCAAATTCGCGACGGACGGCCTCGTGGTCCGCCGTGTGGAAATCAAATCTTCAACCCGACTTCAATGTGAGCGTAATCGAACGGTTTGGACCAGACTCTTCGGCTCTGCTTCGAGAACTCGACGAGAGCGATCGATTCGTCCAAAAATCAGCCGGATCGACTTCGATTTGGCCGAGCGAGAGAACTTCAAAGTTTGGTCGGGACGTCCCAAACCAGCGGTTGATTTCCACACAGGTGATCCGCGAGTGCCTCCGGGACCCTCGGCTGTCCGACTACGCGTGCGTCGTCGTCGACGAGGCCCACGAGCGCGCGCTGCACACGGACGTGCTCTGCGGCCTCGTGCGGCGCGCGGCCCGGGCGCGGCGCGCGTCGCCGAGGCCCCTGCGGGTCCTCCTCATGTCCGCGACGCTCGACGTCGCCGCCTTCTCCGGCTTCTTCGACGACGCGGCCGTCGTCCGCGTGCCCGGGCGGGCCCATCCCGTCGACGTCTTCTACACGGCGGCGGCCGTCGACGACTACGCCGAGGCCGCCGTCGCCTGCTGCCTCCAGCTCCACGGCGACCCGGCGTGCGGCGGCGACGTTCTGGTGTTCATGCCCGGCGAGCAGGAGATCCGCGAGCTCGTCCACATCCTCGACGACGCGCTCCGCGGGGCGGCGCCGTCCCTCGTCGTCCCGCTCTACGGCGCGCTGCCCCGCGAGGACCAGCTCCGCGCCTTCGCGCCGGCGCCGGGCCGGCGGAAGTTCGTCGTCGCGACGACGATCGCGGAGACGTCCGTGACCATCGGCGGCGTGCGCCACGTCGTCGACCCGGGCCTCGTCAAGGCCCGCGCGACGTCGACCACGGGCTTCGAGTCCCTCAAGCTGGCGCCGACGTCCAAGGCCCAGGCGCGGCAGCGCGCGGGCCGCGCGGGCCGCGAGGCGCCCGGCCGCTGCTACCGCCTCTACCCGGAGGCGTCCTGGGCGGCGCTCGCCGACGACGTGACGCCGGAGATCCTGCGCTGCGACCTCGCGGCCGTCGTCCTCCAGCTCAAGGCCCTCGGCGTCGACCGGCCGGAGACCTTCGACTACGTGTCGCGCCCGCCCAGGGCCGCGCTGCTCCGCGCGCTCGAGACGCTCCACGCCGTCGGCGCCCTCGACGACGCCGGAACGTTAACGGCCCGCGGCGCGCGCCTCGCGAAACTGCCGCTCGTGCCCGTCCTCGCCAAGGCGCTCGACGGCGCCGCGGAGGACGACCGCTACGCGCCGGGCGCGGACGCCGTGCTGACGATCGTCGCGGTCGTCGCGGCGTCGGACCACGGCGTCTTCGCGACGCCGTCCCGGTCCGAGGAGGCCGACGACGCCATCCGCGCGCGCGACGCCTTCGAGGACGTCTCGGGCGACCTCCTCACGGCGCGGAACGCCTACGACGCGTGCGCGCGGGAGTCGACGCCGGCGAACCGGGGCGCCTGGTGCCGCAGGCGCTACGTGTCCGCGACGGCCATGCACACGGCCTTCCGCGTCCGCGCCCAGCTCGCGGGGCTCTTCCCCGACGGCGCGTTCTCCCGCGACGCCGCCGCGGACGCGGACGCGCGGCGCGCGGCGACGCTCGACTGCCTCGCGGGCGCGCTCTGCAGCTGCCACGCGGCGCTCCGGGACCCGCACCGCCGGTGCTTCCGCGCCGCGCGCCAGAAGGTCGACGTCTTCGTCCACCCGACGTCCGTCCTCCACGGCCGGAACCCGCCGCCGGACGCGCTCGTCTACACGTCCTCCGTCCTCACGACGAAGCTCTTCGTCCGCGGCGTCCTCGCCGTCGACGCCGCCGCGCTCCCGAGGCTCGCGCCCCACCTGTTCTCGACGAAGGGGACGTAATTCGGAGGTTCAACATGTGGCCAGTTCACCATTCGGCAAGATGCACGTGAGCTTCAAGTATTTCGTGAGCCTCTAGGCGCCGCAAGCTTAGGACGGGCCGGCGGCGGCCGCGGCGCGGCGGAGCTCCGCGACGCCCTCGGCGCCCTCCGCGCGGAGCCGCGCGAGGTACGCGCCGAGCGCCTCGATGAGCGCGACGGCCGCCGGCGCCGCCAGGGGCCGCTCGTGCGCGGCGATCTCGTGGCGCGGCGCGACGCGCTCCAGCGCGGCGACGAGCAGCGCGCGCGACGGCTCGCGGAGCCACGCGTCGGCGCCGCAGCCGCGGAGGAGCTGCTTCGCGACGACGAGCGTCAGGAGCGCGCGGTTGGATTGGCCGTCGTCGGCGTACCACGCGGCGCTCTCCAGGAGCGCCGCGACGCCGCCGAGTTGCACGTCCTCGTCGCCGCGGTACTTGGAAAGGTAGTCGCCCGTGCTCTGCCAATGCGCGACCTCGGCCCGGTTCAGCGGACGCTCGCGCGCGATCAGACGGTCGAGCACGCCGCGGAAGTCGTCGCTGCTGATCTCGGAGGCCATGGCAATGCAAAGCGGTGCAGGTAGGCGAGCAGCGCGACCCGCCGAAGGGAACAGATCGAGTCGCGCGCGACAGGGGCTGCATGGTAGCAGCAAAACTTCACGGTCACCTTCTCCCATCGAGGCGATGGTCTCCGACGCGCCGGGAGCCGCAAGCTCCCCCAATCCCACCGCCGACCAGCTCGCGAAGACGCTCGCCCGGACCCTGGCGGCGCGCCAGGAGGACGTCGCGTCCACCGTGTCCGAGGACGACGACGTGAGCGACCTCGCGGCGAACTTGAAGGAGGAGCAGCTCGGCGCGACCCTCGAGTCCCTCGACGTCGAGCACCCGGCGCTCGCCCGGTCCTGCGACGTCGTAAAGAGCGTCGCGGACCGCCACGGCGACGGCGACCAGCGCCCGCTGCCGTCGTTCCCCGGGTCGCCCGGCGCGCTCCTCGCGGCGTACTGCGCCGCGGGCGGCACGTTCCAGCCCTTCGCGCGGCCCGCGCGCTACACGCACTTCTTCAAGTGCTGCGCCTGGGGCGACGCGCGGGAGGTCGTGGCGACCCTGGCGTCCGCGACCGCGCCCGGGGGCGACGCGGCGTGGCTCCGGTCCTTACTCGAGCGCCGCGAGTCGTCGCTGCGCAAGCCGCCGCTCCACGCGGCCATCGCCGGCGCCAAGTGCCTCCCGGGCTCCGACGCCTGGCCCCTGGACGAGTTGCAGCAGCGGGCGATGGCGCGCGCGCTGCCGGACCACGCGCTCGTCGTCCAATTCCTCGTCGACGCGGGCGCGCGCCTCGACGCGCGGGACGTACTCGGCGACACGCCGCTCCACGCCTGCTGCGCGGCGAACGCGTCGGCGCGGAGCCTGGCCATCGCCGCGGCGCTCGTGAAGCGCGGCGGCGTCGGCCTGCTCGCGGAGCCGAACCGGTTGGGGTACACGGCGCTGCAGTGCGCGGTGCACGGCGGCCGCGCGGACGTCGTCGACCGGCTCCTGGCGCTCGGCGACGACGCGGACCGGCGCGACGCGGGCGGCTCGGGCACGCTCAAGGACCTCGCCGCGGCGCTGGGCCACGGCGCGGTCGTCGCCGCGCTCGAGCGCCGGCCGGGCGCCTGCGGCGCGGCCTGCGCGGCGTGCCGGCGCGCGCCGGAGACCAAGGAGCCGAACCTCCTCGCCTGCGGCCGGTGCAAGGCCGTCCACTACTGCTCCCGCAAGTGCCAGCGGAAGCACTGGCCCCAGCACAAGCCGCACTGCGCGGCGCCGTCGGGCGTGGCGTAAAGCACCTTACGACGGCGCCGCCTTGCCGCGCCAGTAGTCCGCGCCGTAGTCGAAGCACAGCTCCTCGCCGACCGCGACGTCGCGCGCGGCGAAGAAGCGGACGCCGCGGTCGCACCGCGTCCCCGGCAGGCGCAGCGGGCCGCCGAGCCGCTCGCGGCGCACGTTGGCGGCCCCGGCCGGCGCGTGGTTCAAGTAGCGCGCGAGGTTGGATCGGTCCGGGTCCGCGCCGTCGACGAACGCGTCGTCGCCGAGCTCGAAGACGTACGCGCCGCCGACGGCCGCGCGCGGGTCCTCCGGGTCGCCGTAGCGCGCGTAGAGCTCGGCCTCGTCGATGACCTCGCCGACGTAGTCCAACAGGTAGGTGTCCTTTTCGATCGCCGCCGCGGCGAAGAGACCGTCGCCTTTGGCGCCCGCGGCGCGGACGGCGAGCGCCGCCTCGCCGAGCGGCGGCGTCTCCGGCGGCGCCGCGAGCGCCCACGCGATCGAGTCGCGGCCGAGCGCGGCGGCGGCCGCCGCGGCCGCCGCCGCCGCCTCCGGGTGCTGCGGCGCGAGCAGCAGGGACGCCGCGCCGACGAGCCCGCCGCCGGCCGCCAGGCCGGCGCTCCTCATCCGCCGCCGCTCGCGCACGCGCGCGAGCTCCTCGGCGAGCGGCGGCGCGAGCGCTGCGACCATCGCGTAGCACGTGATGCAGAGCGCTGCCATCATCGCACGCTGGAGGTCCACCATGACGCCTAGCACGGACTTGCTCCCGGCGTGCACCGACGTCGGGTTCGAAGGGCTTCGTTTTGGAGGCACATCAGGCAGTCGGGGCAGCAGAGCTTGTTGAAGTCGTGAGACGATGGTGAGGCAAACATGCACGACATTTTGATGTTTTACAGGACGCCGTCCCGCGCGACCTGCTCGCGCAGCTCGGGCGCGTCGGCGAGCGTCGCGAGGACCGTCGCCGCGAAGGCCGCCGCCGCCGTCGCGTTGTCGAAGAGGTCCAGGACCGCGGCCTCTAGCTGGTCCGTGGGCCAGAGCACGGTGCCCCGCATCGTGACGCGCCGCACGGACTCGTCGAAGTGAAAGGCCGCGCAGATCTCGTCGACGGCGCGCCGCTTCGGATCCGCGATGCGGTCGCGGCCGCAGGCCCGGGACCGCAGCACGGTCTCGAGGAGCGCGTGCCGCCGCGCCGCGAGCGTGAGCTTGGGCGATCCTTCCGCGTCGCCGGCCGCCGCGTACTCGAGGAACAGGCGCACGCGGGGCGCCCGGTCCGCCGCGTCCCCGCCGGAGACGTGGGCCGCGAAGTCGCCGGGCCGCCAGGCCAGCGACTTGCGCGCCACGTCGCAGTTCGCGTCGAAGAAATCCGGCGCGCACGTGTGCGCCTGCGCGCGACTCGAATCTTCAACCCGACTTCAATGTGCGACGGTTTTGACGCGAGTTCTTCGGCTGCGCTTCGCAAACTCGAAGAGAACGATCGATTCGTCCAAACATCAGCCAACACGACGTCGATGTGACCGAGCGAGAGCATTTCAAAGTTTGGTCGGGACGTCCCGAATCAACCGCACACGGGCGCGCGCGTTCCAGAACGACTGCAGCGCCCGATACGGCAGCACGACGACGGCGCCGCCGGCGCCGGCGAGCCGCCCGTGGACGGACGCGAGGGCCGCCTGGTCCCAGTGCGCGCAGGCCCCGAGCCAGCAGGCGTCGCCGCCGCCGCGGAACGGCTCGAGCCACGCGGCCTCGAGGATGAGCGCGACGTCGGCCGAGCCCGCGCGCCGCGCCGCGAGGACGCCCGTGTTGAACCCATCCAAGAGCGGGTCCGCGCCCGCGGCGACGTAGCCCGGCGGGACGTCCGCGAGCGCCGCCGCGAGGTCGTACGCGGCGTCCGTCGCGACGACGTCGTCGTCGACGACGACGACGAACTCGTAGCAGTCCGCGACGTCCAACAGCCGCCGGAGCAGCCAGAGCTTGAGCCAGTGGCCGCTCCGCGACGCGAGGTAGTAGGCCAGGGACGCCGTCAGCTCGCCGTAGGGCTCCTCGACGACCGCGCCGGCGAGACCCGCGGCGTCCGCGGGAAAGAACCCGTAGCCGCGTTGTACCGCGTAGGCGCGCCAGCTCGCCCAGCCGATCGCCGCGACGTCCGGCCGGTCGGAGATGGACGCGACGAGCACTCCGGACCCGGCCGCGCCGCCCGGCGGCGCCGCGCCGCACGGGTCCGCGGCGAGCGCGAGCGGAGGCCACCGCGCGGCGAGCGCGCGGTGCTCCGCGACGGCCCTCGCGCACGCCGCGGCGCCCGGCGCGCACGCGCCACGCGCCGCGTGCCCCGTCGCCGCGAGCATGGCCGCGCAGCGCGCGTCGTCGCTCGGGCAGGCGACGACGGACGCCGCGCCGACCTGTCGCGCGAAGGCGTGCACGGCCTCCTGCACGGCGTGCGGGCCGCCGCAGTGGACGACGACGGGCTCGCCGTCGACGACGAAGGGCAGCGAGCACGGCGCGAGGCCCGCGACGCGCGCAACCACCAAGAGGGCGACGACAAAGCGCCACATGCTGCCCCGCCTGTACATCAATGAACGAACGGTGCCCTCGATGTTGAAGCTCACAAATAAATTAGGCCCCGACGACGGGCAAAAATAGGACGCCGACGACGATGAAGATGAGCGCCGAGGCGGCGGAGATCTCGTCGTGGCCGAAGCTGCAGTGGCGCCGCGCGTTGTCGCGCACGGCGCCGCCCGCGCGCTGCCCCGCGAGCATGAAGACGAAGCTGCACGCGAGCGTCGCCGCGACCGTCAGCGGGATGGGCAGCCGCGCCATGCCCGCGGCGATGCCCGCGGCGATGTTGCTGAGCGTGAGCGCCAGGCCGAGGACGAAGGCCTCGGACGCGCCCATGTGGTGCACGTCGCCCTGCTCCTCCGCGTCCGCGGCCGGCGGCCGGGTCCGGCGGCAGCGGCGGCACGCGGACGAGATGAGCAGGAAGTTGCGCACGAGGGGCGGCGTCTTGCCGAGGCCCACGTAGGAGATGCGCCGCATGAGCGGCGGCCGCCGGCCGAACGCGGCGGCGGCCGCGCAGGGCTCCGGGTCCTCGACGTCGACGTCGTCGTCGTCGTCCGCGCGCGGCCGCGGGATCGTCGGCCGGTGGCCCGGCCGCGCGAGCTCCCGCCGCGGCGGCGGCGGCGGCGGCGCGCCGTCGCAGAGCGCGTTGAGATTCACCTCGGAGCCCAGCGACTTCCTCGTGAACCAGCCGTGGAAGGGCGTGCCCGGCGGCGAGTCCGCGGCGGCCGGCCGCGCCGCGGGCGCCGCCGCGTCGTCGCCGCCGCGCGCGCGGGCCACGAGGTCCCAGTGGTCCTCGGTCTCGCCGAAGGGGCCGCCGCCGCCGGGCCGGGAGGCCCGGTCCGGCACGACGCAGTCCCCGGGCAGGAGGCAGCTCCCCGCGAGCCACGAGTCCGCGCGCGGCGGCGGCGGCGGCGGCCGCGGCGGCGGCGGCGGCGCGGCGTCCGGGACGTCGACGACGGCGAGCGCCGCGAGGTCCTCGGAGAGGGCCCGCCCCCGCGCCTCGTCGTCGTCCTCCTTGGTCTCCTGCGCCGCGCGCTTCAGCTCGACGGCGCCGCCGCGGCCGCCCGGCGCCGCGCGCCGCATGCGGTAGACGTTGCAGAGGCGCAGCAGCTCCCAGAGCCCCAGCGCGATGAAGACGCAGCCGGCGAGGAAGGAGCCGAGCACCGGCGGCAGGTAGGGCCGCAGCTCGCTGCCGCCCCACATGGTCACGAGCATGCCCGTGGAGTTGATCACGGCCACGAGCAGGTTCCGGGACCAGCCGATGCGCACGCTCTTCAGCGAGTAGCCGACGCCGACGCTCAGGTTGTCCAGGGAGCTCGACGCCGCGATGGACACGGACGCGGCGACCGTCGCCATGGCTTCACAGCCGGGCCGGCCGGCCACGCCCTCCCACTTTTGGGCTCCCTGGCAAGAGGCAGGCAGTGAACCACCCCACGACACCAAGCACCACTATAATGCTTAGTAGGGTTTTGTAAAATACGACTTTATTTCAGGATCGACGAGCTAGCGGCACCGCTCCGCCGAGCGCAGGGGTCGATCCGGGGACGTAAGGTCGTTCTGGGCCGCGCCCGCGCGTCGCGACCATGCTCGGAGTCTTTGCGCAGCTCGCGCACCGCTCGGCGGGGTCTGGCGGCGCGCGCCGATTGACACCACGTCGCGTAGCTCGTCGATCCTGAAAATAAAGTCGTGTTTTAGAAAACCCTTGCAAGCATGAACTAACTGACTACCCCAGAGTCGCGACTTGCTCAAAATGAGTGGTCAAAACAGCTGCAACATGGGGTCAACGAAGCCTGTGAACCACCCGTCCTGGCCGATCGGCAGCTGGAGGGCTGCTCGGCCACGACCTCCACACGGTCGAAATTTATGATCGAGCGCCAAAACCACCAATTTGCTCGAGCTCGAGATCAAAAATGGTCGATAGAGCCAAAACAAGCATATTTCCGGTGGATTCGAGTGGTCTCCAGCGGCCCCAGGGGTACCACCCCCACCACCACCACCACTACCTCACCCCATTCTCAGAGCACCCATCTCAGATCAGCATGACAGTGGTTAAGGTTGTTTGTGCATACCTCTTGCTCCCTGAACGAAAAATCTGCAGTATCCCTTGGCTGAAATTCGTTGAAGGTGAGGCCCGTCAGGAGGCTTCAGCAGGGGCTTCAGGGAGCTCCACTGCGAGCTCGCTTACTTCCCTCTAGGCGGAGAACGACGCGGTCCCCGTGCCGTCGGCGCCGATGGTGGCGGACACGGCGGCGCAGGCGAAGTCCGGCGCCTCGCTCGCGTGCCACGCGAAGAGCAGCGTCACGCGCTCGCCCGCGTCGCCGCGGAGCCCGACGGTGATCTTCGCGTCGTCGGAGGCGATGGACGCGAAGCGGTAGGTCGACACGGCCGCGACCTTGCCCGCCTCGCCCAGGAGCGCCGCCGTGCCGAGGAGGGGCGCCGCGTTGACGAGGACGTAGTCGTCGCGGTTCGCGGTGACCTCGACGCCGTCGAAGAAGACGTCGTCGGTCTTCGACGCCGCGCGGAGGCCCGTCGCGCCCGCGCAGGGGTCCGACGCGTTCTGGGAGTCGAGCCAGTTCGACCGCCAGACGACGTAGGAGTCCGATGGGAGCGTCGCGTCACCGAACGTCCCGCGGGGCACCGCGGAAAAGTCGCCGTCGGGATTCGCGCCGTCGACGAGGTACTCGAGGTCCGCGCGGTAGAGCGTCAGGTTCTGCGTCGACGGCGACGCCTTGCCCGCGAGGAAGGGGAACGCGGCGTAGAACGTGGCGCCCGACACCGTCGCGTGCGTCGCCCAGACGTGGACGCCGCAGCCCCAGGTGTAGGAGCGGTGCGTCGCCGCCGTGAAGCAGTCGCCCGCTCCGCCGGAGCCGATGACCGTGCGCTCGACGGGCGCGAGCGGGTAGGACGGCTGCAGCAGCTTGCCGTTCGCGGCGCACGTCGCGTTGACCAAAGCGATATTGGACGTGATCGCCGCGGCCGGGTCCTCGGGCCGCGCGCTGAGCTGGTCGCTGATGCCGACGGGTCCCAGGCTCAGCGCGGCGAGCACGGTCTGCTGGCGCTGGTTCGCGAAGGACCCGCTGACGCGTTCGCCCTTGTTGAGGTCCTTCGCGCAGTCGTACACGAGGGACCCGTCGGCCGCCGTCGCGTTCACGTAGCACCGGTCCGCCGTCCGCAGGTTGTCCTTGCTCCAGCCCAGGCCCAGCGCCCCCGCGAGCGCCGCGGGCAGCGGCAGGTCCTGAACCGCGAGGCCGCCGTCGCCGTTGACGCGCGCGTTCGTGACCGCGGGCCACTCCACCGTGGCCATGATCTGGTGCGCCAGGGCCATGCAGAACTGGACCTCGACGCCCAGGGACGCCGCGGCCTCGGCGATGCCCGCGAGCCAGAGGTGCTCGCCGTCCTCGCCCGCGGGCACGTCGCCGTAGGCCGCCATGCCCGGCCCGCGGTAGCACAGAAAGTCCGTGAAGAGCATCTCCAGCCCGAAGGCGTCGCGCTGGTACTTGAGGAGGTCGGCGTGGAACGCGAAGCTCTCGTTCGGGTGGGGCTCGAGGCCGCCGTTCGACTTGACCATGCGCCAGTCGTCCTGGCGAGCGCAGTCCGGCGTGAACCCGTTCGTGTAAAAGGTCATGGCCACGGGCTCCTCGGGCCGCGCCTTGGACATCTTCTCGAGGAAGCCCGCGCCGCCCGACGGGTAGAGGGTCTCGTTGAACTGCTTGAGGTCGAGGCCCTTCCAGTTCTTCGGGTCGAAATACGACACGTTGAAGTTGTTGTCGGGCTCCCAGGATCGCACGCGGACGCCCGCGGCCTCGTAGCCGTCCTTGAGCTTCTCGTAGATGGCCTCCGGGTTGCCGAAGACGGTCTGGTCGTCGCCGACGGTCCACCAGGAGTAGCCGGCCTGGTTGTCGTTCCAATACGCGAGGCCCTCGACGCCCTCGCCGCGGCGCTTCGTGCCGTTGTGGAAGCGCCGCGTCGTCGCCCCGAAGGCCCGCAGCGCGGCCGTGACGCCGGGCCGCGCGAGCGTGACGGCGGCGTTGGCGGCGCCCGGCGCGGCGCTCGCGTCGACGCCGACGCCGTCGGCCGCGGCCGGGCAGGGCGCGGCGTCGAGGCCCGCGAGTTTGCCATCCTGGGCGCCGCGCCGCGCCGAGCCGGGCGCGGCGCAGTGCACGGCGAAGGTCGTCGTGAAGCGGTCCAGCGGCGCGACGACGAGCGCCGCGGACGGGATCGACGCGTTCGACGGCGGCTCGAAGAGCACCTGGGGCCCGTCCTGGGGGCCGTCGCAGCCGGGCTCGCCGCCGGGGAAGAAGAAGTGCTCGCCCCAGTAGAGGCAGCGCGACGCGGCGGGGACCTGGGCCTCGTCGAAGGACGGCCAGGTCGTCTGCAGGGAGTCGTTCGCGGGCGCGCGCGTCCACACGAACGCGTCGTCGGCCGCGTAGTAGGCGACGGCGAGGGCGCCGCCGGCCACGGGCAGGGTCAGCGCCTCGTAGGCGCCGAGCGCGTCGGTCCCGGAGCTCGTCGCCGCCGGGCCCACGGTCGCGAGGGCGTTGGACGGCAGGGCGATGGCGGCGCCGCCCGTGGAGCTCGCGTAGGCGAGGCGGTAGGTGACGGCGCCGGGGTCCGACGTGTCGAACGTCAGCGTCGCGAAGCCGCCCTTCGCCCAGTCCGCCGACGCGGGGGTCGAGGCGAGCAGCAGGAGGGTTGGCAAGCGCTGTACCATCATCCGAAGAGGAAGACAAGCAAGGGCTGCGACAGGCACTGTGGGTTTGTTGACCAAGTTATTGAAGGGGGAGCACACCCGAAGATCCCGCCGGGGAAGGCGCGGGCGGAGGCCTAGCCGGGGATCTGGCGAACCACACCGGCCCCCTCCTCCACCCTGAAGATCGTGCGCGCACTCGGGACGGAGGCGGCGGTACACTCGCGCCACGCCTGGTACCACCGCCACGCCGAGAGCACGCCGGGACTGGCGCAAGGCAGTAGCATCCTGAGTCGCCTCATTCAGACGACACTCAACGGACTCTCCGTGGACCGGGGGAGGTTGAGAACGAAGGCACCCGCACCCGACGGGCAGGACGTCCGGCTCGACTAGGCCGATTCAACCTCAGGACCACAAGTGGCTAGCCGAGGGCACCGCCGAAGAGGACACCCGTAGTCAGCGGGACCGAAGAGAGCAAAGACGCCGACGAAGAGAGCGAAGACGCCGACGTCGACGGAGCCGCACACAGCGCCACGCTACGAAGAGACGCTGCAGAATGCAGAGAAACGAATGGACACGGGCACATCGAAGCCCGCACACCGAAGCCATCGAGGGCGCCGACCCCACCAGCTCCCCCCAAG